CCTGCAGGATCCTCACATGCGATAGACTAGTAGCTGGGACAACTTCTTTATGTTTACAGACGTGACGTAATGACGCGGCAGCATGCTCGAATTTCCCGCGAAAACCTACCTGTACCACTCAAATTAGAAAACATTATTATAAGCTAACCGTTGTGAATCGGGCTAAAGTAAGACAATAGTTTTGAACACTGGCTGTTATGTACTTGCTCAAATATTGATTTCGGATCATTTTTAACCAAAAAAAGTTACGGACTGCAACTTTAACATTAAATGCAATTAGCTGAACTTTAGAGAGCTTTTTTGACCCACTTAAGTAGTACATTTTTACATGTAATTTCATAATTACTTTTATTGTCTTTAAAATATTGTAAAAGTATACTGTGGAATGCACTGACAAGCATTTATGGTAAACTAAAATACATTAATGAAATACTTTAATGCCATTTCTATTGAACTTTTTTAATTGTATAACTTATGCCATGTATTTATGACAGATATACTTGTAACAACATTTGTAATGATGAAGTTGCAATTTAGTACATTAAAATATATTTATTTATAGTAATACTTATATTAATTACTTATATTTACTTTATATTAATGTAATATTGAACAATACGGTTAAAATTATAATCAAGTACTTTACATGTGCTTTTGTTAGTCAACAGATAAAAAAAAGTATACTTCTCTAAAGCGCGACACAATATTAATAAAATATATTTTAATGATTTAAAATGTTTCATTTGACAGTAAAATGTTTCATTTGACAAGTGTACTTAACTGTGTAAAAGTGTACTCTTTAAGTACACTTAAGTGGAATTTTATTTCATTATTAATATTATATTATCTGCGAGCAGTTTTTAAAAAATATATCCTTTTAAGATTTGAAGTAAACTACAAGCGCACATTCAGTACAATGTCTAGCGCTTGTTTTTCACATGGGAAAGCTACTGTATGTACTGTTTCAGAAGATTTGGAATATATCTATCTGGGACTGCTTTTATGTTGCCTATTCATTTGAGGACATTGGCATTCAAGTTCCCATTCATTTTCATTGGAAAATAGTAGCGTTAATATTACACAAACCATATCCTGTTGTGTTTCACAGAAGAAAATTATATGGGTGAGTAGAATTTTCATCTATTGGTAATTACTGCCTTAAGAAAGTGAAATAAATTATTAGATATCCAAACTGACGTGCATGTTAAACTCACGCGTGATGCTTGGTGAACAGAAGCCGGAGGGCCGCCCGTAGTCTAGCAGTCAGTGAGCACACCTCATCTCCCTTTTCAGCAGATGCTTCACTTATCAGCAGGATACAGTTTCCCAGGGCATCCTCAGTGCCTGCATAACTCTAAAATACAAAAATGCACCAAGCTTTAACACAGCCATGGCGGACAACAGACTCTCAAACTTAAATCCTTCTTGGAAAAACAATAAACAACACACAATGCCATTTCACCACTAGGGGTGGGAATCTTTAGTCACCTCACGATCCGATCCTGGGAGTCACGATCCGATTCCAGAACGATTCTTGATCTACTCTATCAAACAAAGCGCGCGTCAGCATTTGAAATTGAAAGCAGCCTTCTGTTAGTGAGGTTCATATTTTAAGTCCACTGCATTCCAAACCACATAAAAGAGGACTCCATAGAGCATTTGTAAGGAAAATACAGACGGGCGAGACCGCACACTTCCAAGTGTAACATCAAAACAAAGCACGCATCTCTCACAGCGCATCCTGTGCAATGAAGCCCGCGAATGTCCTTGTAATTTGCTTCAACCTTTCCGAACTTTATGAAAGAATATTTTACGAAAGGTTCGAGTGGTGTATGTGTGTGAGGAATTGGAAGCAAAATTGCGATGCATCGATGGATCGATTTTTTCTCCCACCCCTATTCACCACTGCTTTATTGACAGCACAAACCAATTACTCAGAGGCTTCAGCTAAAAATTTATCAAATGTGATGACCTTGACAAGATTTATGAATATTCAATTTCAACCCCATCCTACCTTCCTAGTGGAAGTCGTTTCAAAAATGAAATACAGGTTCGGTTTTTCAAAAGTACAAAATAACCTTGTTTAAAATAGAATGCGGCATAACATGGATATTACCATTCTGCCTCGGGTGTCTCGCAAACACGTTAATATTACATTGGAAATTATTTTTTCAGCCTAGTTTGACGGTTATATTGCGTCTGTGCATTTGTGTGTGCGTGTGACGAGAGATGTGGAGAAAGGAAAGAGTGTTTGCACCTGTAATATGGGAATGACCGGGTAAAGTGCCTCATTAAATCTGCTCCAACTTGCAGCTGTCATCATCAATCGTCCCTTCAGCAGATAGAGTAGAATATCCTTGGCAGCAGCGCTCACCTTTGGATCACACAGAAAGTCAGTTGATGGGGCTATGATATTGCACTTACAACAAGCTACCTCATCCAAATCCACTAAAATGCCACCTACAGCAGTGAGACGGGAGCATTTCCAATGTCAATCATTAGCTTAGCATGACCTCAGTAACCCATTAAACATGGAGCATAGATACATTATTTATTAGCGAGCTGTGTATTGGTACTTCTTCGTGCATTACTTGGGGTCTCGCTGGAAACAGGAAGATGAATAATTCACCTCTCTTGCTTGGTCTTGAAGGCCAAACATACTGATCTCATACAGGACATGGGAATGAAGCAAGAAATGCACTCTGCTGCAGATGGATGAGGCAGGTTTGGCCACATTCTGAACTCCCAAACACTCCTGTAGGGGTGAGAGCAGGAAGTTAGGGTGGGGATATTACAGTCTACAGAGTTCAGGGGTCACTAACAGCCTATGTGCAGTGTAATAGAATTGCAAGGAAATGTAAAAGCAATTCAATGTATAGTACACACAACCATTATAAAGGGTAACATCATTCTACCCCCTGCAAATGGAAGAGCTCTTGACCAAAATATTATAGGTCTATTCCTAGCTGGAAATACCAGGTCATTAGGTGGTCAAGCTTGCCAACTAGTCCAAAAAGTGCTTTGGAACATAGCTAACATATAGCAAACATTTTTAATATATAAACTACTGTTCAAAAGTTTGGGGTTGGTACAATTCTTTATGTTTTTGAAAGAAGTCTTTTATGGTTATCAAAGCTGCATTTATTTGATCAAAAATACAGTAAAATCAGTAATATTGTGAAATATTATAACATTAAAAGAAAAAAGGTTCTCTATTTTAATACATTTTATTCTTGTGAAGGCAAAGCTGTATTTTCAGCAGCCTTCAGTCTTTAGTGTCACATGTTTTTTCAGAAATCATTGTAATATGCTAATTTGGTTCAGAAATCATTGTAATATGCTAATTTGGTTCAGAAATAATTGTAATATGCTAATATGGTTCAGAAATCATTGTAATATGCTAATTTGGTACTCAGGTAACATTTCTTATTAAAGTCCATGTTAAAAAAATTTTGTGCTGCTAAATACTATTGTGTAAACTGTGATTTTTTTCAGGATTCTTTGACAAATAGAAAGAGCAGCATTTATTTGAAATCTTTTAGAGGAAATAGAAATCTTTTGTAAAACTATAAATGTATTTACCATCTCTTTTTACTAAATTTAATGCGTCCTTGATGAATGAAAGTATTCATTTCTATAAATAATATTATTAAATTATTAATATAAAAATAATAAAATTATATAATATATAAAACTATTTAGCTGCATTTCAATATCATAAATCTTAAACAAAACATACTTAATTTTGAGTTTGTAATAACAATTCATGAGTCATTTGTTTGTGAATATATTGTGGCCATTATTCTTTGAGGTTCGCCACTGAACTACAGTACAGGAAACACTGGACTACTGGGTCAACTACTTACAACCAAGTTAAATGAGTTAATGACCAACGAGAATCCATGTAGCTGGTTTAGCTGGAATTTTCGATTCCATAACTAGGTGAACTTTTTCCTGTCTTTCCTGTCACTTATCTACTGGAAGTGGCTTAAAATAGGCTCTATCTCCCAATTTTCACTTGCACATCTTGTACCTTCAAAATGCTCAGAGAGCAGGAGTAGGTTTCTGCCTTCACTGGGGACACAGGATGAGACAAAAGTTTCAGAAATATCTTCTGACTCTCCGACTGCAGGAGCGGGCTTGCTTGTGCAAATTTCCACCTACGAAGAGACACGATTTTTACAGATTTTTACACAATGACACCTCTTCCGCAGTGCCAGACAAAACAGCAGATGTCAATGGCGGTTTTACAGTTTCCATAATTGTGAGCAACTTACAGGTAGGAGCAAATCTGGACGCACTCCTTCACCACCGGTAAGTGCTGATGGTACAGAAAAGCATCTATTCCTTGGTCAGCGAGTTCCAAAAGCTCATGCCAATTCTTATCGCCCTATGAAGAAACATTTCACTTGAATCACTTTTATTTAAAATTCTTAATTAAAGGAATAGTTAAACAGAAAATAACAAAACACAGGCTTGGAATGACATGAGGGCAAGAGCTAGATAAACCATTATTCATGCTGCTTAACTATCTTCTCTATTAAATCAAATTTAGGGCGGCCCCATATATCAGCTCGATATTGTGATTGTAAGGCTGGAAAAACCTCAGATACTTTGATCTCCTGAGATATGCCTTTCATGCAAATCACCTTTTGTCTCCGAAAAGGTTTAAACTCCCTGGCTCTAGGCCTTGATTAGTGCAAATTCCAATTGTGTTAGTTCCTGCCTCTATTTGGATAATGTTTTGTTTTTGTCTGGGTACTTAAGGAAAATTTGCAATAGGCTCAGCACGATTCTGTAGCCAGCTCAGCCCTTTGAAATGAATATCTTTCTGAAATCAGATAATTTGATGTCTTGTGTGGACTATCTCTGAACTAAGTAACTGGCATAATGTTTACCTGACTAACAGTAAATTGTTACATTTGATATCAATTAGTAGATTAAGTGAAGGCGTATGTTACCGCAAATCTGCGTCCAGGGTTAAGTACATACTAGATCTCAGGTTAGATGAAGCATGGGGCACATTAGGCGGGATTCTAGATTTCTGACTAACTGACATTAGTTAAGTTGTTATGTAGTTGCATTAACTATGGGGGCTAGACAAAAATACTATTGGGGTACTAGCAACCATGGGCCATACTAGCCACAACTACTACTTGAAAATGGCAAGCACAGGCAACCAATTAGTATTAGTGTCACAAATCTGGTCCCTGCTCTTCCTCCCACTCACCACCAGACGTCTCCATCAACTTTTCACCCCAGACTCCATTTCCCATAACCCTCTGCCCTGGAACTGATTACGAACACACCTGTTTCCCATTAGGAAGACTATTTAAGCTGCACACTCTCACACACTCATTGCTGAGTCTTGTTTTGCTGTAAGCGGACAATTCTAAGCGTTTCTTAGTTTATTGTGTTTTCCCCGTTTCCTTGCATTGCCTTGCCTGAGTGTTTTTGTCTGTGGATTGTTCCCCGTTTTATGATCGTTTGCTGCCTGCCCTGACCTTCGCCTGTTATTTGGATTACTCTTTTATCCTGGGATTTTGTTGTTTTCTGGTGATTTATTGTTTTGACTACGCTCTTGAATAAAGCTTGCATTTGGATCCCCTTCTCTGTTGTCACGCCGCCTGTTACAATTAGTCACAACCTATGGCTAATGATCAGACTGGCCAGGTTGTGACGGTGAGATCCGAGTACATAGATTGCAGGGCTCGCAAAATTTCGAAATCCCTGGTAGCCCTTTCGGGCAGGTATTCTTAAGATTTTGATAGCCCAAAATTAATTTAACTAGCCAGAATAAAAGAGACATTGGCAGAACTTCACGGCGGACAAATCAGCATGATCAAAAACTTCCTTAATTGTATTATTTATATTTGTATTATGTATTATTTGTTTCTTCAAATAACAAGTCAAGAGAGTAGGGGTGCAATGGATCACACAACTCATGATTTGAATAGTGTTACGGATTTTGAGTCACAGATTAGATCATTTTTTGGATGAGCAAAAAATGGTTCTTTATTATTTAAATAACATTTTAAGTACTTCTATGATACCACAGCAAAAACTAGTAGCATAATAAAGGTCAAATATTTTTAAAGACAAGTGAACCGTCAATAATAAAGAACAAATAAACAAATTTCAAGCATAGATAAACAAAATAGAACAAAGGTACAAATAAAAAATTAAATAAATAGGTCTAACATTAGTTTTCAGGTACAGAAATGTAATAATTAAGTGTAAAATAACACAACATAGTGTTAAATTAAATATAGATTAATCTGTGTTAAAGTTGTATTTTGTTGTTTGATTAACATTAATGACACAGACAGCAGCATGTTTTTGTAGGCTTCTGTCCCTTTAAGACCGATTGCATGGATCCAATATAATGATACACATGTGATTTCTTTCTTCGCTGTCTACATTCACTTAAGACATAACTGATTGTGTTTACGAGAATACTTGCCAAGACGGGTATTGAGAGATAATTTTGTGTAAATGTATCCATCCAAGCTCAAGAAGACGAGAAAATGAATAAATTCTGCATTTGCTCGCTGCCTGAAACGCCGCTCTCAGTGTGCGCTTTGAGTGTGTGTGCGTGCAGAAAACAGTGCATGAGTACCGAATTGAATATTCTTTTGCCTCTTCATGCACTTCAATATTTTAAAATGCTTGAATGTTTAAATAGCAACACATTCAAATGATCAACTATGATCCGTTTCACCGATACAAGCGAGTGAACAACATGAATCAAGGAAGGAATTTCATATTACTATTCAAGATAGCCCGTCGGGCAGGGCGGTGGTGATACTTTTTTGGTAGCCCAACTGGAAGATAAAATTGCCCTGGTGATGTCGGGTTAGCGATTTTGTGAGCCCTAATAAACGAGTAAAATATAAAGTAAAGAGTGAAATAGAATAATCAAGTGCCAGAGTAATAATAACTAGAAATGATAAACATCCAGTTTGCATTTCAACCTAAATTCAGGGTCATAATAAACCGACCAAATTTTAATTGAAATTAAATTACTTTGAGCACCGAAAGGACCGAACATGCAGGAAACACAACTGGGTGGACCTTACAAGATTATACATTTTCGTAAACATTTGATCAATATTGCTCATTAATGGAGAGTTTAATTGTTTATGCTTCTTTCCTCTGCTTTTACATTTAATTAGCTTTTCTGAAATGTATTGCTCTTTTAAAGCTAATCAAAAAAAAAAAATAGTAACACTATTAAATGTAATCTTTAGTTAATCTCAAAATGACTTCTACATTTTTTATGTTTAATTTTTTATTTATTTAGACAGTAGTGTAGAATTTGAATATCGACTATAACAAAATAAAATAATTATTGGCTAATCAACCAGAATTTTAATAATTTCAATTAAATGAATCCAGTGGAAGAAATATACTCTTTTAGCATATATCCTAAGTTAGTCACTTATTTTAGTTTTTTGTATTTTATTTGTAATTATTTAGACAATAGTGTAGAATTTTAATATCGGATATAAAATTTTTCAGCTTATCGGTATAAACCAGAATTAGTAGATGCCTTAATTCACTGAATCCACCAGAAGAAACGTATACTTCTAGCAGATATCCTGCAAGTTATTCGGTCTTGAGAGTTTCCAATCATTACCTCAGCCTGTGCATCGTTTAAAAAAGTGCATGTAGCCTCCATGCAGTGAGAAACGCTGGATACTCTACGATACAGGCTGTATCTTTCAAAGCAAGCCTGCTCTAGGTGTCGCCACGGCTGACTCGTGGATGAGGGGGTACACCACACTGAAGGATGAATCAAGACACACGAGGAAAATGGCAGCCACTGTACTTTCCGAAAGGTTATCTCCAGCCTGTTTGTAAAGACATCATACATAAGGTAATAAACACACATATGTACACTAAACAAGTACACACTAATGAATTTGTCTGTAATTACAGTGCTGTCCTTAGGTCTACAGCTTAACTGAACAATTGACCCTTCCATAGCGACTTCTGGTGTGTTTTACACTCTCATTTGTTTTAATAATGACCATGGAGGACACGGCCATATGTCCATTCAGCAACGGTGGCACAGCTTATTAATGTCTAAGAATGGCACAGCCATATGCTCACTCACCTTCTCCACAGGTAACAAGGTTTGCAGGAGACGTATTTTGAAAATGGCAGTGCCCATGAAGACCATTCGGTGGTGGATCAGAGACAATTCTAGCTGTTCAGAGGACGTCATGCCATGGTGGTAGCATATAACATCTCCCAATGTCTCTATACATGCCTGTAATTTCTCCCTCTTTTACCAGACCAAAAAAAAAAAAAAAAACGTAAGTACTGAGAGACTTACAGATCTCATGTCATTTTATTGCCAGCAGGGGGCAGCAAGAGTCCTGTGCATTTCAAAGAAAGTTTTCAGATGACAGCAGTTTTTCAAGATAAAACGCCATGAGGGTGCATTAAAGATCAATGAGGGAGAGAGGCATGCTGTGAAATATACATAATCATATGCGGTGGGGAATGTTCTCATAGGTGTGCACACACACTGAGCACAATGGGTTCGTTTAAAAAGATTTCTATAGGCAATAAACATCATTGGATGAAACAATTTTGTAAATCGGTGTAATACGACCTACATAATCCTTGGTATGCATATAATGCAATGCACTGATGTAATTTTATGTTAAATACACATTAGCTGAATAAAACAAAGTAAACTTTTCATAATGATAATGGTAAAACTTTACAATAAGGTTGTGAACGTTAACATTTCTTAACCATGACTAAATATCTACATGTACTAACAATATATGTTAACATTGGTTTATGTATTATGAACTAACATGAATTTGAACAGTGTTCATTTATATTGCGTAACATATAATGTAATATAATATAATACAAATCTGACAAAGACTATTAGTTCATTATACCTAAATGTTAACATAAATATGCTTATTGGGTAACACCGACCAGGATTCTATGATAGAAGAGATACTGTATCTCAATGGGAAAAATAAAATAAAATAAACTTTTATCACTGGTTGATGCATTAGCTATCATGAACTAATATAAACAGCAACTAAACAGAATGTATTAATCTAGGTTAACTTATGTACTACGTGTAGTATTTTTTATTGTTAATTAATGTTCATTCATAAAACATTAACTAATGTTAATTTATTCAACCTGGAATGTATTCATGCATTAACATTAAGCAGGATTAATAAATTATCTAAAGGTATGTTCATTGTTATTTCATGTTAGCTATTTCATTAACTAATGCTATTGAAACGAGACCATATTGCCATATTGAAACGAGATACAGCTTATTGTAAAGTCTTACTGTATTTTATTAAACCAATACAAATGTTTTAGATGGAAATAGCAGATGTATTGAGTTGTCAGGAGCAAACAGGGACTTCTAAGTGGTGAAACTGGCCTAAAAAAAACAACGGTCGTGCCATGACTGATTTGCGCTGATAACTTAACGTTCTACAATGACCATCTGTCCCTCAGAGTAAGTGGAGTGGGTGAGACGGAGCAGCGACAGGTGTGTGTTTGCATGCACTAATGCAGCCATCAGCCTCATGGCTATGGATCTGCACCGTGGAGGAGGGCTGTTGAAGACACTTGCCAGCTCTGTCGCAGTCAGGCTGTGCTCATCCCACACCTCGGGGGCTATGCTGTCTCCCAGCAGCCCCTGTACCTCTGCCAGCAGCTCTAGCACCCGTTGGAAAAACTTCAGGCTCTCTGAGAGGGCAGGGATGAGAAAAAAACAGGGGAATATGATGAGCGATGGAAGCACACGTGAGGGGAACGGCAGCAGCTGTAGCTGCGTTTGAAACAGGAAAGAGGATTTAAGAGGACTCTCACCTGTCCTGATGAGAGGGAGCGCATGCTCCACGGCCGCCACGGCAAATCTAGCCAGGCTCCACTGCTGCAGCTGAAGCTCCAGTGAGTCCTCCGCTTCCATTTCCGGGGGGAGCTCCGGGTGGGGCTGCGGGAGGGGAGACTGTTGGGCTGGCCTGGGGGGAGCCCCTCTCTGACTGCTGCTACCGCTGTACAGCACAAATCAAAAAGAATACTTAATTGCTAAAGACCTGAATGGTTGTGAGCAACATTTTTAAAAAATGAAAAGATTTTTCGAAGGTGGAGACGAATACTTTCGCTATATGTAGTTCTCATCTTTTCCAACATAAACCTAAATTTAGTGATTGTAGCCTTTAAAAGCCATATTGCACACTTTGTAGTTTTTATCATTTTAAGTCCACATATATTTACACTACTGTTCAAATGTTTGGTGGCGAGTATGATTTTTTTAATGGTTACATCAAAAAACACAGTAATATTGTGAAATATTATTGTAATTTAAAGTAGTTTTCTAATTTAATATATTTTAAAATGTAATTTATTTCTGTGATGGCAAAGCTGAATTCTCAGCATCATTAATCCAGTCTTCAGTGTCACATGATCCTTCAGAAATCATTTTAATATGCTGATTTGGTGCTCAAGAAACATGTCTTATTATCAAAGTTGAAACAGAAAACAGTGCTGCTTAATTTTTTTGTGGATACCATGATATATATTTGCTTGCAATTATTTAAAATTCATTAGATTTTTTTTTTTGTAACAATGTACAAGTCTTTACTGTCACTTTAAAAAATTTTATTGCATCCTCGCTGAATAAAAGTAATCATTTATTTAAAGTCCCCAGTAGTCAAATATTTTATCCCTTAAAACTTATCTTTGATCATCAAAATTACATATTTAAATGTTTTTTTCATGTGAAAATAATTTTCTCATGCCTTAAAATAGCTTGAATGTAACTCTACACCCTTGCCTCATTTACTATGGGAGAGGTGGGTCTGACTCCGGGCTACTTTTACACTATTGCCACAGGTTTTAATGCAACGCCTGCGCGTCTCGTGTTTATAAGAGCAAAAAATTCTGATTGGCTAGTATAATGTTAGTTTGGTTGCGAGTGAAAGCTGTTCTCCGGGCTACTTTTACACTATTGCCACAGGTTTTAATGCAACGCCTGCGCGTCTCGTGTTTATAAGAGCAAAAAATTCTGATTGGCTAGTATAATGTTAGTTTGGTTGAGAGTGAAAGCTGTGCTCCACTCATACAATTGGTAGGCGAACTCATGGACTCGAAAGGGATATCAACAAGTTTTTTTTTTTTTTTAATGTAGGGTTATTTTTTTCCGCATCCAATCGCTGCACGCCGAAGATCTGGCATGGTGCCGGAGAACTTTAAGCCCTGACAAATACAACTATTTTACAGTAAACTTAAAAATAAAATGCTAATATTTACTTATTTTTTTAAAGATTTTTCATTTTCACATTTTTTCATCATTTCCAAATGTAAAATCAGCAGGCTTTTATTTTGGCGGGTTGCCGGCAAGTAAGTATATGCGCTTCCGGGTTTAGCGCTGCCGACTGAAGCACATCATGAAATGTCACAGTTTTGCATTGTGCTTTGAAAACGGCAGCGGGTAGCCTAGATTTATTTATCTATTCAGTTTGAATAGAAATCTTATACAGTATTACAGTTTGTCGATCTAAAATGGTAATTGTGCATTAACAGCTGTCAACCATGTCAGTACGCAAATGCGCTGTCAGAACTTATTTACACAGCGCATTTTTTATTTTGGTAGCACATGCGCCCCTGCGTACCACTTATGTGCACCCCTGATAATAATTAAAATTAATATTTAAAAAACAATTATAATAAAAAAAGTATTGCATGTCCAAAGAGAAATGAGAAACCAATGAAATATTATACAGCTTAAAAAAAAAGGCCCTGAAACACTTTTTTTATTTAAAAAATTAACAAGGAAATTTCTGTTTTCTGTTATATTTTAAAGGTAGAGAACAAAGCTTATTAAGCACCTAGAAGAGGCAGCATCTCCATCCTGGCCATCCCCACGTACCCGCTGACCAGTTCTGCCCACCACAGAGGGTCTGGGGGAGCTTTCGTCTGGGGAAGAGACCCCAGACCGTTGGGTAGCCCTCACCTCCTGAGGGTAGGAGATAGACGAGTTCTGAGAAACAGGGTCTAAAGGGGTGAAATAATAAGAAAGACATTGATTCAGCATTTAGTACATTCTTAAACTTCAAGCACCTCTTCACCAATTTTAAAATTTAGAACAAGAGCTAAACAATAACCCTTCAAAAGTTTGGGGCCAGTAAGATTTTTTTTAAAGAAATTAATACCTTTATTCAGCAAGGATGCACTAAACTGATCAAAAGTGACAGTAAAGACATTTATTTGTTTACAGTGCTGTTCTTTGAATATTCTATTCAAAGAATCCTTACAAAAAATGTTTTACAGTTCTCACAAAAATATTAAACAGCACTATTTTCAACACTGATAATAATAAGAAATGTTTCTTTAGCACCAAATATTAGAATGATTTCTGAAGGATCATGTGACACTGAAGACTGACGTAATGGTGAAAATGCAGCTCTGCTATCAAAGTAGTAAATTACATTTTAAAATGTATTAAAATAGTAAATAAAAAACACTTATTTTAAATTATAATAATATATCTCAATATTACTGTTCTCGCTTCTAAGGGAACTACAGATTGAACAAGCGACAGGTCATTTTGGCTGTAAGACATATATCAGATAGCAACAGTGGTAAAATTACACCAAGCAGAGGGTACAAATACCTTTCATTTGATGACAATATATGACGATCTGTTGTGTTCAAGGACAGCCATGGAAAAACAGAGAACTTCAAGCATCTTAAAGAAGTACTGACTGCAGGGTAAAGAAATAAAAGAATATAAAGATCTTAAAGACTTTAGTGTCGAGACTTCAAACAAAGGCAATAATATCAACAATATGTTGATATGCTAATATATTAATATGAAAATTCTGTCATTATTTTAGGAACAACATGAGGGTGAGTCAGTTTTGGGTGAAATACTTCAAGCCTGTTGATCATGCACATGTGTTCTTATGCATGGCAAACGAAAACATTTGGTTTCTGTAATGTGGTGTTTTTAAATATACATAAATACGACAGCAACATTATATAACTAGATAACAGATTGGATTTTGACAGAATCGTAAGAATAATCAGTTAGAGCATCAGTTAGGAAGGTTGAAAATTATAAATTAATTTCTTTAACAACTTCCTTTTATTGTAAATAAAATTAAATGCCTAATTAAACACTACTGTAATACACTTCTGTTCAAACTTTAAAGGGTCATGAACTAAGAAATCAAAATTCCCTTGATATTTTAAAATATAAGAGGTCATCGTACTATAAAAACATCTTGTAAGTTTCAGAACTCAAAACTTTCTCTAAAAACAGCTTATATTGAAGCCAATCTGCCAGAAGGACAGGTTGTGGAATGTGTCGCTCTGACGTAATAGTGTGGTTAAACCCCGCCTCCGCAGAAGAAGATCAATGCCTGCTGCTACATCACTGCCTGTTTAGCCCCGCCCACCGATTCGTGCTGCATGTAGGCCGAGAGAGGCAAACGCAGGTCTACACAAAAACCAAACGATAAAGATGGTTTCGAATACAACGAGACGCTGTGCAGTGCCAAGTTGTGGAAGAACAGAGTCTTTCCATTGCCTTCCTTCTGATCCCAGTGTTAGGTAAAAGTGGATGAACTTTATTTTTAATGTTCCAGATCACGTCAGTAAGAACTTGGCCTTTGATCACTTTATTTTACCGCAGACTCGTTTACAAACAAGGCACAATTCGACGCAGGATTTCCAGAAAATTTTGAAACTAAAAGACGATGCTGTGTGACTATATTGGATCCTACAGTAATGTCGCACCACACAAATGTGAGTAAATGTACATAAAAAAAAATTTAAAAAAAAGAGTAACTGTTTTTATTACGTGGTCATTATTGCTTTGTCTGTTATTACAGATCGTTTGATACGTACCGAGTATTTATGCGTTTTTAACCTAAATCACAGCAGCGTCCATCTATGAAGGATGTAGGCTGTCAAACATACACAACTGTTAGCCAAACATAGCAGTGGGCGTTTACTTCCGCCACGCCTATTCAAACAGAACGTTCTGATGAGGGGGTCAAAACAAGACAGAAAATAGCCTATTACTTCTAAATTATGATGTGTTTCTTTTGATGTAAAAATCTAAAAATTGTAAGTGGACCTCAGATAACAGTACAAAATAATTTTAAAAAGGCAGTTCATGACCCCTTTAAAAGTTTGGGGTCAGTAAGATTTATTTTGAAAGGTTGCATTTAATAATTATGTATTAAATAATGATGTATTAAATAAATGCTGTTCTTGTTAACTTTTCTAAAAATGCATCATGATTTCCACAAAAATATTAAGCAGCACTATTTTCAACGTTTCATCAGCACCAAATCAGCATATTCAAATGATTTCTGAAGGATCATGTGATTCTGAAATCTGGAGTAATGGCTGCTGAAAATTCAGCTCGTGAATTAATTAAATTTTTTAACAGAATTTTTGATCAAATAAATGCAGCCTTGGTGAGCATAAGATGATTACTTCAAAACCTTGTTGTATATAAAATTTTCATATAACTAATATAAATGTATATCTTTTTGACAGACATAAAAATTGCTGAAATGCTAAACCACTAATAAAATCTTTTAAAAGATTAATAAAATATTTTTTTAAATTTAATAAAATAAAGATATTAGCATGCAAATCTGCACTACTGCCCCAACCTTGCCAGAAGAAGAAAAAAAATACTTGAGTCCTGACAATTCTTATCAGTGCTGATATTAGATTATTTAACACACACATTCTAGAGTGATCCATTTTACAGATTTAATGAGTTTAAGTTCTCCCTGAAAGTTAGTTAACAAAAAGTAATTTGATGTTGATGTCACCTACATGATACTCTGGGGGTGGGAGCATCTGTCTGCTTGGGTTTACTGCACTGGAAATATCCCCTAGCCGACGAGTCGTCTTCTGAGAACACAAAAGCAGCTGTAGCACTTTCATGCTCTCCTCTGCCTTGAATCAGACCTCATGTTCATTCCAGAGCTGCTGTCAGACAGCTATTCAAACCGGACTATGTGGCAACCTTGACATTGGTTATAATGACATCGATATCTACAGTAATCTGCAGAACAGACGGATATAATTTCAATGTAATGTTTTTATACCTGTCTGCAGCGAGGGAACACAGTGTGGCTCGTAGGAGTTGGTGGGTGGACAACTAGGCAGGGCCTCTGGGAGGTGGAAGAGCTGATCGAAGATGCCGTCTATGATAGTTCGGAGGCGAGGAACCACATTAGGTGAGAGCTGTGTTAGGAATTCGACAGCCCCTACCTCCCGTAGCATTTGGGCTCCGGTTGTGTGCTTTGACATGGTACGGAAACCAAAATTAGATACTACTCAAAACGTGCCATCTAGTACAATAATCTGCCTGGTTCCTTCTGTGGATACTGACATCCGCTTGCACTTTTTTCCCCCTCATGATCTGATTGGTAATGAATAGTGCCACTGCAGTGAGGCCCATTAAAACATCACTTCCTGTCATTGAGAACATCTCACTAAATGCAGCCTGGCAGTATAAAGACACTCAAATCATTTTACATACATTCCATGCATTATAATTACCTTGGACAGCATGCTGATCAACTCCAGAACTTCCTCCTGCACTGGAACCTCCGGAAAATTAAACCATTCCAGAAGGAAGACACACAGCATCCTTTCTTGGACCAGATCAGGAATGGTGATGAGACCATGATCCAGTTTGCTTATGATATTTTTAAGAGCCCGAACTCTGATTTCCACTAAGGAGTGTCCTTATGGAGAAAAAATAATGATGTATCAATACAACATAATGCAATGCAATAATTTAGAAACTATACACTGCAAAAAAAATCATTTTCTTACTCAGTATTTTTGTCCTTTTTTTAGATACAAATATCTAAACATGCTTAAAGGGATAGCTCACCCAAAACTGAAAATTCTGTCATCATTTACTCACACTCCACTTGTTCCAAAACGGAGTTACTCTGCCGAACACAAGAGAAGATATTTTGAAGAAATGTTGGTAATCAATCAGTTGACGGTAGCCATTGACTTCCATAGTATTTTTTTTTTCCATACTATGGAAGTCAATGGCTACCGTCAACTGTTTGGTTTCCAAAATTATTAAAAATAACTTCTTTTGTGTTCAACAACTGAAAGAAATTCATACAGGTTTGGAACAATTTTTTTATTTTGTGTGAACTATCCCCATAAATCAAGATACATTTACTTGAGAAACAAGATTACTTAACTTGTATTCTTGTTTTCTGAAAAAAAAGTTTCAAAATTTAGTGAGGTTTTGCTTAAAGGGGTTATATAATACGATTTCAATTTTTCCTTTCTCTTTGGAGTGTTACAAGCTCTTGGTGCATAAAGAAGATCTGTAAAGTTGCAAAGACTAAAGTCTCAAATCCAAAGAGATATTCTTTAAATTATGTCCCCACTGGATGCAACACATGCCTGGTTTATATTGGTTTTACTGGTTTTGTCTTGTCGCGTATCACCAGCGCTGGTTGCACACACGGCATCACAGTATGGTAAAGGGCGTAACATTTCCGTCACACGCTTGAGGTATTCGGCCAATCACAACGCACTGGATAGCTGGCCAATCAGAGCACACCTCGCTTTTCAGACCGATGAGCTTTGTAAAAATCTACGCGTTTCAGAAAGGAGGGGCATAGAGGAGAAACAATAATGTACAGTATGTGGAAAATAATGTGTTTTTTGAAACTTAAACCGCATAAACACATTGCATTACACCAAATACACAAAATAATGTTCGTTTTAGCAACATCATATGACCCCTTTAAAACAAGACAAAATATCCGCCAGTGGGGTCTTGTTTTCCTTTTGAATTAAAGTTATTTTTCTGACCCCACTCGCATAACTTTGATACATTTTTCAGAAAACAAGACTTAATATATTAAGTCATTTTGTGATACAAGCAAATGTATCTTAATTTAAGAATGTTTTAGTTATTTGTAGAGTAAACGCAAAATGCAAGAAATTCATTTTTGCAGCGTATACAAAGCAGGCTGATGCATTTTCATGATGCTATAACACAGATTGCAGTTCAACACAGTTCAACTACACACGTTTACAAAAAAGATGCAGGTGGATGTTATTATCATTAAATAAATCCAAAAATGAAAAGTTTGACAGATCATTTGTGAGCTAAACTATAAAAACGAATGCGCAGCAACACATTTAACTGTTAGCCCTTGTAACGCTGTGACTTCAACAAACTTTTATGACTTGAAAAAATACTTTTTTGCAAGATACAACAACAATATTAGCAGGACTGGTAATTATGCATGCACGTCTGGGTTAAACCAAATAACTGATCAAAACATACAGCTTCACTTCTGTTTAGCTTAGCAGGCTATTTCAAAATCAACTGTTTGTTGTTTAATGCTCAAAACGCCGACTGTCTCTTTTATAAAGAGACTGGCAGAGTCGCGGGTCTGTTTTCAACTAGCGCGCCACTGTCAGGCACTTCCGGTAACTTATATGTCAGATATGTGTGAGAGGCCGTGCAGATTTCTTTGGTCTTCACAACAGCTTGAAACAAGCATATATTTTGCAAAATATAAAGAATATAAAGAAATCAATAATTGCATTCTGTGCATAATTTATGTGAATGCCCCCTTATGAAAATTTTATTTTTTTTTACCATAATAATAGCTACTATTGCTTTATTCTTAATGTTATGCTGTTGCAAAGCAAAAGTTGTAGATTACTAAATAATCAATTTTTACTTTCTTTCTTTTTTTTTTACAACTGGGTCAGTTTTATTAAGTTACTAATGTTTTCAATACTAATTACTATATGCTTATATGTCATAGTAATAGGCCAACTAGTAGCCTACTATAGAAATGATAGCTTCCATTGTAAAATAACACTAATACTAACACAAATAAATAATACTCAGTGAAAGAATGTACTTAACCTTCACACGGTGAGCCTCAAGAAGTCAAACTAAATATTATATGAGCTATTGCATTTTCTATTAATTTTTTATGTGTTTTGTAATGTTTGCAACCCTGTTACCAAAACTCACATTCAGCAGAACAACTTATTTTGTGTTACAGTTTAAAACAAAGGTCTTTCTTAGAGGTTTAAAAAGATATGAGGATGAGTAAATGATTTTATTTTTGGATAAACTGTTTTTTTTTTATCTAGCTTCTTTTCATGTTAGGTTCATTTTATGTTAGAAAACAGTTTATAACATTTCTAATAATTCTCACAGCAATACACATTGGATTTGTGACTTTCATGCTATAAAAAAGTCATGAGACACCAAAGTGTACCATATTTGTTAAATGTGCATGTAACCACATGAGGAGCATCCACAGTCTTAGATGACTAGATGACCTACAAGGCATCTTTTATTGATTTCTTGGTTGGCATTTGTACTCTGACTCTTTTCACAGCTAGAAATGTCACTGTTCATTACAACACTGATACCTTATAAACCACACTGTTTACACACAAGAAAAAATAATATATTTTTAAATACAGTGAGATGAGTACAGTGATCCGTTATATTTTCCAAACATGATCAGTATACTAAATATTTTTAGGCATCATTGCAAATCCCACCAAATTTCTAGAAACCTCAAAAATAGTATCATATAGATATATAATATATGGTGTGCAAAGACTCTAAAGCTTTATATGATTTTGCAGGTTATATTTATTTGGTGACTAAGATTTTCTCACTCTGGACGGTGACATATGACAACACAGTAGGATCCTCAAAAGTGAGAATTAAAATACTTCTAGATTTTGATAGACGGCTCAGCAGGCACACATCTTTTTATGGATTATAAGCGGTAGGTGACAGAGGACAAAGCTGTGATATTGTACGATTTTAGAAAGCTGTGATAAATATTACAATTAATACTGCACATATATTTATTTTTTCTATTAAAAGACAGTTACATAACAGACAGAGATTAATTGATCTTAATTTAAGTAGGGTTAAGACATTATAAACAATACAAATTATATACAACAGAAAAAAAACATTAGACAAAAAGACATTTGAATGCAAGAGCACAGTACATTGCCATTAGTTAAAGGGACAGTTCACCCCAAAATTAAAATCAACTGAAAATGTACTCACCATCCGGCCATACAAGATAGATTGTAGATGTAGAGTTTGTTTCTTCATTGGATTTATCACTACATCACTTGATCCTCTGCAGTGAATGGGTGCCGTCAGAATGAGAGCTCAAACAACAAATAAAAACATCAAAATAATCCACAGTAATACACATGACTCCAGTCCATCAATTAACATCTTATAAAGTGAAAAGCTGTGTGTTTGTAAAAAACCCAAATCCATCAAGACATTTTTAACTTTAAATGAGTACTTATAATATTGGTTTCTCCAGTGAAAAAAGTTGTCTCATCTGAATATGCACAGGTCAAGCAACATTTACAAGCAAAACCTTCCAAAACAGTTCTAAACAAATATGTCGATGGATTTTGATGTGAGAGTACAACAGTGGATGGACATTTTTTTACTGGAGGAAATGTTATTATTTTGTCAAGAAGTGAGAAAGTGTTTAAAGTTAAAGCTCCTTAGTAATATTTTTTGTTTCTTACAAACACGCATATTTTCACTTCACACAATGTTCATGGACTGGAGTCATCTGGATTACCTGTGGATTATTGTAATGCTTTTATAAGATGTTTGGTCTCTCATTCTGATGGCACCCATTCACTGCAGTGGTTCCATTGGTGTGATGTAAGTGTTCTGATGAAGAAACAAACTCATCTACATTCTGAATGGCCTGAAGGTAAGCAAATTTTCTTTTTTGGGTGAACTATTCCTATTACTTTAATCTATTAATATAAATCAATTATTTGTTATGACATGTTTATTACTTTATTATGTTGTCCTTGATAAATATCTCAAGATCATCGTCAAATAAACTGATGTCTTGTGTATCTGTTTTTTATTAATAACAATCTTGAATCTTGAATAGAGAACAAACACTTTCTACAGTCTGATGAACCAACAATCCACAAAGATTGATTAAATAACATTTTCAGGCTGATTTCATAGGATAGGTCTTCTGGATAGCATTGCATGAGTTTTTCACCTTTCGTCCATCCATCTTTATATAAGAACTAAAGGCCTGTATGTGGCAGATGAAATATGATTTAAACACCTAAATGTTCACCATGTGCTCACTGTGATAGACCCTGCTGGTAATCAGCCTAGATCTGAGATCAGTCATTCAAAGCTTTCCAGCCTGAGGAAACAGACTGCACCTTCAGATGAATGTGTCCCGGGTTCGGTATGATTCATCACCGAAGCCTCACTGTCCAAATCACTCTATTTGTCTAAAACACCACAGTGCTGTGGTCTCCTCCCTGAGCGGTCTGACCAGTTGATATGACTCTCAGCACATCCCTGACCTGAAGACCTTTGGACTGATTTCCCTGTTTTATTTTCCACATGGCTGTCTCTTTCTGATATGCGAACCTGCGATACGGAGAGGATCGCTCTGCGTTTTTTCCCACTGTGAGATAAAGTGCTTGACTGATGAACCAAATCTATCGCCCTGCCTTGCACCCATGCTCCTGCCCGGATTCATCATGAATATTCCGCACTAAGAGTCCAATATGGAACATAACCCAAACACATTTGATATCGAAAAAGACCAGGTAGACACTCCGATTTCTAATTTGGTTATTTTGAAACTCTTTAGACTTTCTATATGACAGTGAGCGGGTTCCAGGGGGTATCTGCTTTGTGCAAGTCACCATGAAATTGGACATTTGGTGTTTTTTTTAAAATAATTTCAGTGTTTGTTATAAATAATTTATCTGTGCACATCATTATTTTTTTATTCAAAAACATTAACGTCCCTTCCCCCCTCACAACAACATCTCTTCTCTGATGTGCACTGACTCAGTGGAGGGCCAATTACTTCTGCCCTCCAGCATCTTGTCACTCACATGATATCACAGCTATCAGCAAACAACAATCCAGTTAATTCCAGATGGACATAATCAATATAGAGTGGTGTAGGTGTGACGTCAAAACTGCTGATTCCTTCAAGATTTTCCTGTATGGGCTTTTATAGTGGGGTTTTTCAATTTATGAGTAAAATAAAGCCTGTGGTAAACATAGCTTGAAAATACTTTGACCATTTGTTCTACAAAATAAACTACACACACTCACTCTCTAAACTGTCTTATCTAGCTGCTTAATAGAAACATATGTTTTCAAATTTAAACATGACTGCTTCAAAAAAAAAAAAATATCGGTTTATTTTCGGTATATACTTCACAATAGATAAGACTATTTGACCAAATGAAAATTTGCTGAAAATGTATTCACCCTGAGTCCTTACATCCCTTGAGACTTTCTATATGACAGTGAGCGGGTTCCAGGGGGTATCTGCTTTGTGCAAGTCACCATGAAATTGGACATTTGGTGTTTTTTTTATAATAATTTCAGTGTTTGTTATAAATAATTTATCTGTGCACATCATTATTTTTTTATTCAAAAACATTAACGTCCCTTCCCCCCTCACAACAACATCTCTTCTCTGATGTGCACTGACTCAGTGGAGGGACAATTACTTCTGCCCTCCAGCATCTTGTCACTCACATGATATCACAGCTATCAGCAAACAACAATCCAGTTAATTCCAGATGGACAAAATCAATATAGAGTGGTGTATGTGACATCAGAACCCAGAAGACTACTTTGGTTCCTTCAAGATTTTCCTATAGGCTTTTATAATGGGTTTTTCCATTTATGAGTAAAATAAAGCCTGTGATAAACATAACTTAAAAATACTTTGACGTTTTGTTCTACAACATAAACTGCACACACTCACACCCCAAACTGTCTTATCTAGTTATGTATTAGAAACATACATTTTCAAAAACGGCTTCAAAATTCAAGTTTTCAGTATGGGTGTGCACAGTTGACATTGTAGAACAAAACATCAAAGTATTGTCATGTTTACCATAGGCTTTATTTTACTCATAAATTGAAAAAAAAAAAAAACATTTGTAGCGTCTGGACCAATCAAACACACAATATATATTTTGTTAGCTATATTTAAACTCCAGTTATTATAAAGCCATTATAAAACTAATAGTTGACCCCAAAATTAAAATTAGCTGAAAATGTACTCACCCTGAGGCATTACATCACTTGCTCACCAGTAGATCCTCTGCAGTGAATGGGTGCCATCAGAATGTCCACAAGAATTCAACATGTATCTATCAATTAACATTTTGTAAAAAAACAAACAAACTGTGTGTTTGTAATAAACAAATCCATCATCAAGATGTTTTTAACTTCAAACCGTTGCTTCTGGCTAAAATATCCTCTATCCATAATATTGCTTTCTCCATTGAAAAATTGTCTCGCCTGAATCAGGAGAGAAATATGCATCAAACACTGTTTACAAGTGAAAACAGTTTTAAACAAATATACTGGTGGATTTTGATGTGAGAGGACAACAGGGGATGGTCTTTTCAGTGGAGGAAGCATTATTATGGATTAAGGATATATTTCCCAGAAGCAATGGTTTAAAGTTAAATCATCTTAATGATGGTGTTTCTTACAAACATGCAGCTTTTCATTTCATAAGACATTAATTAACTGATCAACTCAAGCCGTGTGGATTATTTGTGGATTATTGCTTTAGCAGCTGTTTAGACTCTCATTCTGATTGCACCCATCCTCTACAGAGGATCCATTGATGAGCAACTAATGTAATGCAAAATTTCTCTAAATTTGTTCCAATGAAGATCATATTTTTTTAATGGAATATTGCAGTGTGTAATTAATCTGTGCATATCATCATTATTATTAATATTTTTTAATTTGTCTTGCAACTACATCCCTTCTCTGATGACGTGTTCACTGGCACGAAGGCAGGAAAACAACTTCTTCCCTCCAGCAACCTGTCACTCACATGAGATCGCAGCAATTAGCAAACAACAACAATCTAATGATCCAATCAGTTCCTGATCAATAAAATAAATTCCCAGCCATTCATTTTTCTTCTCATTAGAGAAGCGTTTCACTAAGATATTCATCACAATAGAGAAGAAAGAAGAACAGAAATGATGATAAAATACAATGAATGACTGAATGAATTAATGAATTAATTAATTTGTTTGTATGTAATTAATGGCATAACACATTTAGAAAATAATTTTTATTAATAAAAAAAAGTATAATGCAATGTTGTTATGTGTGCATGAATTTATGCAACAGCTTCGTCTCACTCACATTACAACAGTTTTTTTCTCTCTCCATAAAATCAAATAAAATACTTACATGGCTAAATCAGTGCAATTAGAGGCTATTTTGATAATCCTAAATAATGTTCACTGGCACGAAGGCAGGAAAACAACTTCTTCCCTCCAGCAACCTGTCACTCACATGAGATCGCAGCAATTAGCAAACAACAACAATCTAATGATCCAATCAGTTCCTGATCAATAAAATAAATTCCCAGCCATTCATTTTTCTTCTCATTAGAGAAGCGTTTCACTAAGATATTCATCACAATAGAGAAGAAAGAAGAACAGAAATTATGATGAAATACAATGAATGACTGAATGAATTAATGAATGAATTAATTTGTTTGTATGTAATTAATGGCATAACACATTTAGAAAATAATTTTTATTAATAAAAAAAAGTATAATGCAATGTTGTTATGTGTGCATGAATTTATGCAACAGCTTCGTCTCACTCACATTACAACAGTTTTTTTCTCTCTCCATAAAATCAAATAAAATACTTACATGGCTAAATCAGTGCAATTAGAGGCTATTTTGATAATCCTAAATAATATCCTGTATAATATGAATTTAAAAACACAAACATTTCTAGTTTGGCATCAATGAAGTGTGGCAAAAAAAAAAAAAAAGTTGATAAAATATCTAAATGAATTTAAAAACACAAATCAGAAAGTGATATAACAGAATAATGCCTCATGTTATTACAACGCATACTTTAACATTACACAACCAAGCCATCATATTTACATAACATCCAGAGTTCTTCAAAGCACATTTACACCAAAATGACCCCAAAAGCATAAGCTCAGTTTAAAGACAATGAGCAAACCATGTTTTACATGCTTAAGTAAATATCAATGGTGTTTTCTTTGCATCCGTTAATTGCATTCAGCTTGAGTCGTATATAGCTGACTCATTACATTCAGTGCGGCTCCAGCTGTTTCAGGTGTAATTAATGCAAACTCTCTCAGACCCTTTAAAAACTCTCCATGTGGAGCGAGCAGAGGTTTTGAAGGACTAGCTCATGGATTGCCTTTCCTGCATGCTAATGCATCCAGAGCATGCAGTTGTTGACTTGAAAGGAAAAGAGGGCATACGCTAAAGAGGTAAACATGATCAATCCATAAAATGACCCCCGACCGGAGAGCAAGAGCCGCTCTAGCCAAGTAATCTCAGACAACAAAAACCCAAGTGGTCCCACCGGTACCATCACTGTCTGACATGTCTGTAATACACGTCTTCCACTCCACTGCAAGTGCTGAAGATATTAGGTTGGGCACCGAGGGACCTCTGACAACCGTCCCTCTAGCGAAAACAGTCAAGCTGAAGGACTAAATCAATGTGAGAGATGCTGCAGACATATTGAGCAAATAATTTCGCAAGTGCTGAAGATATTAGGTTGGGCACCGAGGGACCTCTGACAACTGTCCCTCTAGCGAAAACAGTCAAGCTGAAGGACTAAATCAATGTGAGAGATGCTGCAGACATATTGAGCAAATAATTTCTGGCTCATGCATGCAGCTTTCATACAAAATAGAAAAAATCATATGAGATATGACAAATGATAATCTCTTGCTTTTAAAAGACATAAAAAGCATGCAAAGAAACCCTGTTTATCTTTATATAAAGATTCTGGTTTGTCTTCTAAAACCCCTTTATAAGCATGACTGTGCTCTTTTAACGAAACAGGTCCTCTCCTCCTCTCTGGATATAATGTGGTTCAGCTTGATAAGCTCTAATAGGGGCACGTAATTAGACTCTTTGCATAGAGGCTGTCTCTACACAAAGAGCTCCGGCAGGTTCACCACAGCATTTTATTAACTTGACACTTTAACTTTAAGGGTGGAAAAAACACAGCATCTGAGAGTAAGGCTCAAATTAGACCAACAGCAGTAAACACAATTACCCACTTTAAAACAATACTGACACTAATTAGGCCACCAATGAATTACTTGAGAGTTCATGCTCTATCTCAAATAACACTGCAGCGCTTAGGAAAAAAGAAGATTGTAGCCTGACAAAATATTCATAAATTAAATACGTAAAAAAATAATATATATACAGTATATACGTATATATATATATATACATTTTTTTTGCTGTTTATTTGTCAAACACTTATACAGAAAAATAACATGAATATATGTATGTGTTTATCTGTGTTTGTTTTCATTATTAAGCATATTTAAGATACAAAGACACTTCAGAATATAAAGATACTGATGTGGAAAAAAATAATTAAACTTGCATGACAAGACTGTGCTGATCTGAGAGTCTGATAACTTTTAATAAAGATAACTTTTCATCTTTTGAAGGGCATTTTATCTGCTTAAATTGAAACATACCTGACAGACTTTTAAATTCCTTATTGCTGAGTGTATTAATTTTGTCCCAGGCCTGTGAATTCAAGCTACAACATTGTGTGTGTGTGTGTGTGTGTGTGTGTACAGTGACAGTGCTTTGTAAAACTTTTATAATTCAAAAATTATTTATCATTTCAATTCATATTAATTTGATTGACAAGTTAGCATGAATTAAATTATATGATTTTATAGATAACTCACTCTCAGATAATATAAGTGTTAATGATATTAATAAAGGATTGACACCATTTGTAAGTCATAAGTGATTAGATCCTAATATGAAGCCGATGTGTAGACATTTTTGCATACATACATGCATACATACATACAAAAATGAATGAATGAATGAATGAATTAAAAAACCCAACACCCTCCCTCTGCATATTTCACATATCACATAAATAATAGATATCACATTTCAAATAACACACTGTTTAATAAACACTTTAAAAGGTAACGAAATGCAATCAAAGTTTCAAACCTTGTCAAACTCATATTAGTATGTGATGGCTTGCACACCAAATGTGAATTTGTTGGCTATTATAAATGAATGAATGAATGAATGAATGAATAAACATGACCCCCTTTCCCATAATACATAAATAATATCACATTTCAGATAATACAGTTAAATAACTGAATATGCTATAATAAATAATCTGCTACATAGCCTACTTAAGATGTTAAACCTATATCAATATGCTATATAGTATATGGTTTGTTGTCTGCAAAATGTGAATTTACGTATTTATTTTGGCTAGTTCAAATAAACAAATAAATTAATAAATTCAATCCAAGTCCAGACACCCTCCTCCCTCTTGTTATCGTTTCTGAATCTTTTCCCATAATGCAACAGTCAACAAAGGAAGAGGGAGAGAACCGGGCTGTAGCCAAAGTGGCTAGTAGTGGCTAGCAGCTAGCACAAAAAAGAGGAAGAGAGAAATGGAGCTGTCATAAAACTTTAAGGAATGTTTCTCTCATCAAACGGGCAAATACAGCTGAGGAGAAAACAGCCTCGGCTCTTCACGTGCATGAGATGATGACAGACCATCAGCAGTGGGCTCTTGTTCGTGCGAGGGAGCTGTTAGATTAGATTAGCAGCTAGCAGTCTGTTATTAGCACGCTAATGCTAAATGCAATCCTCGTCGTCAGATTTACAGACACATTCGACCCAGATCCATCTTTCTGAAGGAAGAGAGGAGAATTAAACTCTATTTAAAGTGGTAAGTGGGTATAATTTGTTGTATGTACGACGTTAATATTTACACTCTCTATTTGTGTCTGATATGATGAAGGTCCCGTAGCCTGCTAACGTTAGCCAAGTCAGCTCATTTTAGGCCTGCTTTTTTTTGTTTGTTTTGCGAGACAAAGTTACAGAGATTGATCTGACAGTCCAAACTTTAAAATAGGGATGTAACGGTATGAAAATTTCATATCACGGTTATAGTGACCAAAGTTATCACGGAAACCGGTAATCGTTCCATCCCTACTTTAAAATGTATCATAATTGATTAATCTTTACATTTTTTAAGTTCTGTGTTGCTTTATGGTTATTGAGTTAACGTTAGATACTGTCGTATCATATGCAAGCTAAATGTGTTGATATAAAGGCCTGTGTCATTCTGCAGTAAACTGCTGTTTTTGAGGATTGTAAGAATGATTATAAGTAAATGCATTCAAAGCAATCATTTTTGGTTTTAAATTTTGTGAAGGACGTAAACTGATCTATTGATTTCATATCAACATATTATTTATAACCGCCTTATTATCCTCGACTAAAATGGTCGCATTTGCGACCAAAAATATTAGTTTGCGAGTGAAGTTTTTGCTGAGGTCGCCACTGGCGACTATATAAATTAAATGATGGCAAATCATTTTGATGGTGGATTGTATCCATAAAGGATTATGTGTTTATGAAACACATGTGAATTAAATTAAATTATATTCCAGTTATAAATGTGCTTCTGATTACAGATAGCCTGGGATTACAAAGATTTGTATTTGAAAGAAAACCAGTTCGATATCGTTTACAATTCTCGTTTATAATCATTACTAATATGGCTTCTTCTCATCAAGATCTTAGTCTATATGCTGTGTTCCGTTAATGCATGAACTTCATATTATTTGAAGCGCACTTGCCGTCCAGTAATCGCAAAAAGCTTTGTGCTTTGTTACTTTTTAATAAAAAAAAAGTATCGGCTTTAAAATTATTCCAAATTCATAACGAAATTAAAACAATAAATACAGTTTTGTTGTTTTGGCGCTCTTTAATGCGGCAGGCGCGTTCGCTTTAGCGCCTCAGTTCAAGCGGCAAGTGAACCCATTTAATCTTTCCCTTTACTACTATAGTACATAATAAACATGAATTAACATCAAAAGGTAGGCTATTTTATAAGAGAGCCTAGAGTTATTTTTACTTAACCTGTTGTCTACATGATTCAACTCCCCCTATAAAATTGCATTTTACTATTTAAGAAAAACAGACTGAAAGTGTGTAAGACATACACTCTTAAAAATAAAGGTGCTTAAAAGGTTCTTTATAGAACCATTTTTGGTTCCACAAAGAACCATTCAGTCAAAGGTTCTTTAAAGAACCATCTCTTTCTCAACTTTTTATAATCTGAAGAACCTTCTTTCGCCACAAAGGACCTTTTGTGAAACGTAAAGGTTCTTCAGATGGTAAAGGTTCTTTATGAAACCATTTAGACAAAAAAGGTTCTTCTATGGCATCGTGAAGCACCTTTATTTGGAGAGACGCACATGCTTCAGCGTGCTGCAACACGAAAAGCCCTTCTTGTGTTTCCATTAATAATGAATGAAAATAAATGAAGTGGATCAGCATATAGCTGCCATGAATGATGGGATGAATCGTGTCCCATGTGTAAGTCTTTTGTTGTAAATAGACACGTTCTGTAAAACCCTGTTTAGATATTTACTGTCATTGTAATGTATTTTCATGCGGCTGGTGTTCTAAATCTTGAGTCAAGTGATGCTTATGGTCCACGATATTGGTACAGATTCGGTGTAATTAACAATTCTTTGTGACTGTATATTTCAATAGTTGGAAAAAACATTTAGTTCCCACTTTAAGTGAACCTTAGTTCCCAGGTCATCTACAAGATGGATTAAAATGCTGATAAAGTCAAGAAAAGATTAGACATAAACACGTAACAGTATGACTGAAATGTTAAAATGTAAAAAATAAAATAAATAAAACACGTTTATTCTGTGGAACCTAAAAAATATTTTTTTTTTTCTTATAGGAGCCAATGGCTCCTTACTCGATTTTTTTGTCTGGAGCCCTGCAATGGTGGCCAACGGGCTGAAGGTCCAAATGGCAGTTTCAGAGCAGCTTCAAAAGGCTCTACACAATCTCAGCCGAAGAATAGGGGTCTTATCTAGCGAAACGGCCAGACAGAAAAAAAATACTGCCTGATATATCAGTCACAGATGACCTGAAGTGTCATTATAAATCAAAAAGTGTGAGAACCCTGCATGCTAAGTTCTCATGTGTCTAGTTTTCATGATGTCTTTTATCTCACCTTTTGTAGATGACGAAGGCTTTGGCGTTCACATGATTGACATTTCCCAGTCACATGGCCAGACCCTGCGGTTAGCATCCTTCGGTCAGCAGATAAGACCGTCCCATGCCCTCACCTGACTGGGTGTACAAGGATGAAGAAGATCAGTCTGAAGACGATCAGAAAGTCACTTAACATAAAGGGCAAAGAAGATGGGGATTTCGTCATGCTTCAGCAGCCATCTTTAGTGGCCGAGTTCACCAAGGATGACTCTCTCTTCGGAGGCTGTTACACCAAAGGGCTGGTAGGTTGCGATCTTAATGGGGAGGATGAGAAGGGTCATAAGAACCGATCGAAGAGCGAAAGTCTTATGGGCACTCTAAAGAGGAGACTGTCTACCAAACAGAAAGCGAAAGTCAAAGGAGGCTCCACCACGGTGGGCTCTGGAGATGATGACGACACCTTCTCTTCCTCGTCGGTCCCGATAAGCTTTAATGAAGTCAAAGCCCAGCGGCCCTTAAGATCCTCGTCCCTCCGAAGCCATCATTACAGCCCTTCTCCGTGGCCTTTCCGGCCAGTCGTCTCTGAAGAGGCTTGCATCAAGATGGAGGTGAAAGTCAAAGCTATGGTCCACTCCCCCAATCCCAGTCCCTCCCTCAATGGCATCAGAAAGGAGTTCCATGACATCCAATTAGAAGGTTTGTTCCAGGATCAGAGCGAGTCTCTGAAGGACATGGATACTCAGAGTGGCAACTTGCATTTGAACATTGAGGATCACGTGCCTATTGGACTCACACCTCAGGACTACATCCAGTACACAATGCCTTTAGATGAGGGAATGTACACAGATTCATCCCAGTCCTTCTGCTTGGATGGTCCCTCGCCAATGGACGTGATCGATCAGGTCGAATCTAACTCGTTGCACGTGGATCAGGGCCTGGATGACCATGATCTCATGCCATCGGACATTCTCATGGAGCAGGAGGTGAACGGATACCTTCCTGGTACTCCGGCGATGGTCCTTTCCAACTCCAGAGCCGATTCGAAAAGCGAGAGTCTTATGGGCACTCTAAAGAGGAGACTGTCTACCAAACAGAAAGCGAAAGTCAAAGGAGGCTCCACTGCAGTGGGCTCTGGAGATGATGATGACACCTTCTCTTCCTCGTCGGTCCCGATAAGCTTTAATGAAGTCAAAGCCCAGCGGCCCTTAAGGTCCTCGTCCCTCCGAAGCCATCATTACAGCCCTTCTCCGTGGCCTTTCCGACCCATCGGCTCCGAAGAGGCTTGCATCAAGATGGAGGTGAAGGTCAAAGCTATGGTCCACTCCCCCAGTCCCAGTCCCTCCCTCAATGGCATCAGAAAGGAGTTCCATGACATCCATTTAGAAGGTCTGTTCCAGGATCAGAGCGAGTCTTTGAAGGACATGGAGACTCAGAGTGGCAACTTGCATTTGAACATTGAGGATCACGTGCCTATTGGACTCACACCTCAGGACTACATCCAGTACACAATGCCTTTAGATGAGGGAATGTACACAGATTCATCCCAGTCCTTCTGCTTGGATGGTCCCTCGCCAATGGACGTGATCGATCAGGTCGAATCTAACTCGTTGCACGTGGATCAGGGCCCGGATGACCATGATCTCATGCCATCGGACATTCTCATGGAGCAGGAGGTGAACGGACACCTTCCTGGTACTCCGGCGATGGTCCTTTCCAACTCCAGAGCCGACACACCTTTATTTTCTCCCTCCCTGTCACCTCTTTCCAGCAACGATATTTCAAGGACCCTCTCTGGGTTCAGTGGTGCAGACTCTCATGTTGTCGAGAGAGTGAGGCACCACCTGAACTTTGACCCTAATTCCGCTCCCGGTGTTAGCAGGGTGTACGATTCTTTCCAAAGCAGCGGACCCATGGTTGTAACAAGCCTTACAGAGGAACTTAAAAAACTGGCCAAGCAGGGTTGGTACTGGGGACCTATAACTCGATGGGAGGCCGAGGAGAAGCTCATCAACCTTCCAGATGGCTCTTTTTTGGTGAGGGACAGTTCAGACGATCGCTATCTCCTCAGCCTGAGCTTTCGGTCACAGGGAAAGACGCTTCACACCAGGATCGAACATTCGAATGGCAGATTCAGCTTTTACGAGCAGCCAGACATAGAAGGTCACACTTCCATCGTAGATCTCATCGAGCACTCTATAAAAGACTCTGAAAACGGCGCGTTCTGTTACTCCAGATCCCGTCTGCCGGGGTCTGCCATGTACCCCGTTCGGCTGACCAATCCCGTGTCGCGATTCATGCAAGTGCGTTCGCTGCAATATCTTTGCCGCTTTGTCATCCGACAGTATACGCGGATAGATTTGATTCAGAAACTGCCTTTACCAAACAAAATGAAAGATTATTTGCAGGAGAAGCACTACTGAACAGACTGTAGTGGGATATGGTAATAAATTGCACTTTTTGTTGAGTGGCGCGTTCTCAAAACAGTTTACATATATGGAGGTCAGGTGATCAGTTGTGTAAATTTGTTGTTGCTCAGATTCAGTGTTTTACATTTTGCAGGTCTTTTCAGAGCAACGTGGTAAGTCCAGAAACTATTTAGTATTGGGATGCCATGCTTAATACACATATTCGTATTGATTATATGAATATGTTTTGCAGTGATGCTAATACAAAGCTTGGATTTGAAGATTGGATGTTGCAATAATGTGCTTCATTCATCAATAGTTTTGCTGTAGTGTAAAGGCCCTTTTACACGGTACGTGGCAGTCGCGAGTGTCTAGTTCATTCTCAATGGGAGACATGCAAAAAGCGGCAAAATGCTGGCGGTTTCGCTAGCAGCACGGAGGCAGAGCGCAAGCGGTGCTCGTGCACCCAAAATCCTGCCGCTTCCAGGGCACGGTGATTCATGGCAGGCGCCGCCAAAGATAAAAATATTTTATCTTTTTGTGAGCGGCAGCCGCGTTGATTTCAACCAATCAGTGAACAGATTACCAATAACCAATCATAGAACATTTAACTGAACTGCCTATTGGAAAAATAGAGGAGAAGAAGTGTAATAGATTTCCCAGAACTGTGTGACCCATCTAAAATCTCATACAGAGACATAAATAAAATTATATTTCATTCAAATTTTTACTTCAATCGTGACCTCACAGGTATGCTCTTTAGACAATTCATCAAAAACAACTTCACTTGTGCAACAAGAAAAAAAGGTAAATAATGACAACAATTAATGGCAGAATGACGCAAACACAAGTTTCCGTTATGTTTTACTTAGTTTTTAGTAAATACAAAGGTGATGTTGACAATTGTAACTATGGCAACGTCCACTCTGAGACCGCAACGCGACCACCGCCTCAACTGCACAAAACGCTTCCACTACAAGAGAAAGCGGCAGCCGCGCGGCGATTCCACTGCTTGCCGCGTCCTGTGTGAAAGGGCCTTAAAGGTGTGGTCACATTGGTGAAATTTCAGCAAAATTTCGTGAACAAAAAGTTATTTTCCATAGTGTAGCGATGTATGAAGCACAGCTATTAGAAGTCACCTTCAAACCAAGCAGTTTTCTGTTGGTCAGTGTGGCGAATATGTTGTGAAATCTGTGTGAGGAAATCTTTCGCAACTTGTGTGAAATTCCCAATCATGTGGATTCCTATTGAAATTACTGGGTTTTCGCCCAAGAAAATTCGCCGAACAATGATGCATGTGATCGCACCTTTACAAGAAATTTGCTTTTCTCTGGAAATATGATGTCAGCCACGTTTTTGGCAGGTTTTCATAGTTTTCCTTCTACAAATCGGTACTTTTAATGAAACTTGCGAATATGCTTTTGTTTTGGTGGAATACAGTTATCATGTCGAATGCTTTAAAGTTCGACAGACAACTTTTGTGAGAGAATAAGTATTTATTTAGGATTAATGCTTTACATTTATTAGAGGTTAACAGTAAAACATTTATTCGTCCGTTGGACTTTTGTAGATCTGTGCAACAGCAAATTCGCCACAAAATAGGACTGTGAATCATATCCAAAACAAATGTTATAGAATAATATTTGCAGAATGCCACAAATCTGTGATGTTATACAAAAAGGGAGCAGGTAGGGAACAAAAGAGGTTTTGTTTTTTATTTATTTTGTAGAGTGTGGTTCATACAGTATTCTGTTCTGTCTAAATCATTTTTGGCTCACGTACATTAAAGCAAAGGTTTATTATGGTTCATGAACATCTTATTTGTTTTGTTAAACATCATTTTAAGTATTTTCATATTCTAGTGCTGGAATTATTGGAATTGGTGACAACCTACCCAAACCTAAAAGCACAGTTTTATAGAGACATTTCGCTTGTTTATACTTGAACCATAAGCAAACTTTCAATTAATCTGCAAATTTCTCAAAGGAATTATGCATTCATAAATTCTTGAGTGAATATAGAAGATTTTTTTGCCCTTTGCCGAATGACAGAAGGCTTTCCTCACCCTCTGTCCTCCAAAATAGCAGAATGTCAGCCTGTCAGTATTTCATAAACTCTGCTTCAAGCCAAAAATGTTGAATTCAGACATTTGAGAATTTATACACTGTTGTGCATTTTGTTTTTCCCACGCCACCTATCCTCTTTCCAGTCACCTGAAAGGGAATTATCAGTTGCTTTTGTTTTCTTTAATGAGGGCTTTAATAGGGCTTCAGATAGGAAAAATCGTGGTCATTGGATGCTCGTCTTTTGTAAGAGTTAGTGGTTTTTGCGCATTGCTTAAATGATGCTGGGATAAATATGACATGAAATGGTTTAGCTCGTGCGCTCATATGAGTCGGCGCTGCTTGGCATTGGACTCCTTTGGGATAATCAGCAAACAGGGGAGCTTATAAATGTCTCTAGCTGGCATATTGAATGTGTGTGAATCAGAGCCAGAACTTTCTATTTGCGGTTTCACACCACACATGGTCTAAGGCTTTTAAGGGCCTTTATAAAAAAAGTGCCAACTGGTGTTCACAGAAACCGGTGAACAATGCCGTGGAAAGTATTCGTGAGACATCTTAAGGAGACTCTGAAGGTTAGCTGTCAAATAAACACAGTTTGCCATCTTTAATATTCATTAGTGAAAACATAACCCATAGAGTTAATTCCGTCAGTTGATAAAATGTTTGTTTTTTACGTAATGCATATAAGGGAACAGTTTGAGATGAAAATTGCTCCTTAACACACCTGGAAACATATTTTAAATGCTGTATCTATGTGTGTTTTCTTTTGGTAAAGAATATGATATTCATGTTTATTTGCTGTATTTGAACGGGCAAAGTTGCCATTTTCCAATTAAATGAAGGGTTTATTTGAATGAGTTGTTGGATGTCAGAATCACCTCAATTGTGTGTGTTTGAGAGTGTGAGAGTTGTGGTTGAGTAAGCAACAAAAAGCGGAATGTTTTAGGCAAGGCACAACATTTTCAATTTGTTGAAAATGCGTTTACCAGAATGTGGAAGTCGACAAATGCAAAAACTAAATGTGAACTGAAGTGTTTGACCGCAGCGTACATTGAATTTCCTTTAGTTTTTTGTTTTTATTCCCAAATGTGTGGCATAGTTAGAATAAACACTGAAAATGTTCAGTGTGTGAGAGCATTTGTTTAGAAAAGAAACAAAGTTGCAGGGACTCCATCACGTTCAGTATCATTTTCATGACCTTGTATGTATATCGTTAGATGTCGCTTGTTCAAAAGTATTTTGAACCGATGACAATTGAGCACTTAACAAGCTTCACTGAAATATCTATTTTTCTGATTCATGTTTGTTGTCCTTGTGCTGCGAATGAAGGTGAATGTTTACATGATGCATTTAATACAGATTAGTTTCTCTTTGTTTAGATCTCTTAAACATCTTGGTACAATTTTACAACGTATTTCTTTAATGTGTCATACACATTCGTGCTGCTTTACGATTATAATTGCCTTTTTAATTACAAAGTGGGGGAGACCGAATGTCACCTAGATATAGGACTATGTATTTACAATGACTTTGGTATACTGCTCCTGAGAAAGTCAGATGCAAAAATTGTAGTCAACGTTTTTAGTTATATGATAATAATGCTCTGAATTCAGTCCTTTTTGTCCAAAAGGGTCTGCTCACTCCAGTTTACATGGTCAGTTTTCCAAAGTCAGATCTTGTTTGTTGTTAATTTGAATGAATGAAAGTACCAATAGTGTTTTCTTGCACATTTGGATACCGTTAAAACATTTTTGTATCTGCTGGTATAAATTATGAATAAAAAATTATTCAAAGCTTTGTGTTGTGCTGTCTGTCTTTCATGCATTCTTTAGATATTAATATTAATTAACTTATTGAGATATTTTTGTAGATATTTAGATGCTTATGTATATATTTAATTATGTAGGTATTTATTTGGATACTTATTTAGATATTTAGACACCTAGATATTTGTCTTTCTTTAGATTATTAATTTAGATATTTGTGTATTTGGATATTTATGTAGATATTTGAATATATAGATATTTTGTATTTAGATATTTATTTAGATATGTTGATATTTAGTTCTTTAGATATTTATTTTTATTAAATTTATTTATTTAGATATTTTTTTTTTTTATGTTTAATTCTCAGTATATTGATGATGATTGGTTTTGGACTTTTTTCCCCCCTAACTTTTGTCAGACATACAGTATTTAGGGTGTATTTGTACTGTTTGGGTTCCTAATGACAAAAATATAGAATTAGGGCTGGGTAAAAAAATATTGATATCTCGATTATAATCGATTCTCAGTTTTACGAAACGATATCGATTCTTAAATTCCAAGAATTGATTAGTAGGGATGGGCGATACCCCTTATTTTGTTTTCGATACGATACCGATATTTTTCAAGGCAGTATCGTCGATATCGATACCGATTCGATACTTCTGCACTAAACTTTTAAATTATGAAATTTATTAAATTATTAAATTACTAAGAGTAAAATGGGTAATGAAAACCACTTAACTTTGTTTAAAACGCATTTAAAATTTTTCCCAGACATGAAAATATCCAAATAATGTGTCATTAGTAACCTTTTGAAATAATCCATTTTTTTATTTTTTTTTTGGAAAAGTGTGTGAAAAATTGTATTTTATGGTCAGTCACAATTGCAACCGGTGGGATAATGTGTATACTGAATTAACATATTTCTGCAGTCTTAAAAATTGTTATATATCTTAGCCCAGCTATTTTAAACTGTTTGATCACATTCTAGGGTCACTATTATGCATAGAAACAAAGTCTCCGATTTCAAATTCTGTCCATTGTATTGCAGTATTTAATCAATAAATGCCGTTTTGGCGCTGTTTTGTGGAGTGATCGCTATAGTCAATACGCAAGGCGCATGTGAACTGATCATCTACTCCACATTAATACCAGTTTCAAAATAATCACGACTAAACATCCGAAGGTAAGTTAAAAGAAAGAGTACAACTTTACAATCCGTATCCTGTCTCATGTAATCGCTCAATCAGTGTTTCAGCTGCGCAAAGACTTCAATATAACGGCTTGTAAACAATGTCTCTTAACGTCACATTTTGCTACCTCAGAAAAAAAAAAAACATATTCGGTGACCATAAACTCATTAGTCAGACAGAAAAATAAACTGAAGACTGAAGAGGGGCATTTTGCGGAATATATGCACCTATATATTCATTATAACTTTAACTGTTCTTCAAAGTTTAATTTATATTTTTTTATGATAGCCACCATTTAAATGTTTATATTTAAAAAACGAATTGAAGTAGAAATATTATGTAATTGTAACTTTTATTATAAAATCTTCATTAAGTGTAATTTAAGCAGTTGTGTAGCCTAAAAAATCAGTCAATTTTAACCTTCAATGTTATAGTAATGTAGTAGCCTACCAACTGACTCATGTATATTTTACAGCATTAAGAGATTTTTTTTTTTCCTTGAGAAAATTTTGCATGTGTACCAGATATATATCCAAAATAATCGATATTGAATCGAAACGAATCGCATCGCAAGCTTGTGAATAAGAATCGAATTGAATTGTGAAATTTGTGTCAAAACCCAGCCCTATAGAATATGCTTACAGTTCTTGTCTTTTGGCTCGTAAGGAACAGACAAATATTTCTTCTTTCTCTGGGTGCAAGATGTTTTATTCATGGTAAGGTGGTGATAAGTTGTCACACTAGGATGCCACCCTCATAAAATAGCACGTCCTTTTAAATGTGCTGAACTGAGTGAGTCAAACTTTCTGTGTGAAACGAAGAGGTTTGTTTTGATATACAGCGATATTCAGTTCTGTTTCGGGATATAATTGGTGCTATGGATCCGTCATATTGTGTTTTTAAAACCTGTTATCCACCCAATGTTTAGGTAAGAACTTCTTCCACGCTGTTTAATACATATTTCGCATACTGTTAGGCACATTTTTGTCCCTATAGTCCAAAAACTGATTTAACTAAAAAGTATTCATGACTGACTTC